TATTCAATATATGTATTTACATAGCTATAAATTTAAAAAGTTATATAGTCACTTTCTCTTCCTCTCTCCACGTCTTTTCACAGAGTATTTGCACGTCGTATATACCCGAAGCCTTCTGCCTTTATTAAACTTACGTTTCATTTTGATTTCATGTAAATTGCCTGTCGACGACACAACACCAACAGCAACACCAACACCGTAGCATAAGCAGGCATGCACACACACACACAGATACTCAGGCACTCCATGTGGCTCTCTTAGCGTACACTGAGCATGCGACGCGCTGATTGGCTGACGGCACTGAGCGAAAAGGGCGGCGCTTCAGAGCGCCACATGAGCTTGAGAGACAGAGAGAAAGAGAAAGCGAGCGAGTGCAGACGAGCTGAACGTGAGAGGAGAGGTGACTGCGGCAGGTGTCGCCGCAGCAATTTGCTACTTAACTCGACGCGTTGCCAAACTAAACAAATTCGATATTCAACTGCCGCAGATTTTAAATGAGATTCGATTGAGCTCACTCCAGCGAGCGGCAAGGGGACAGAGAGAGAGAGAGAGAGAGAGAGAGAGGGCGAGCTCAGGAGAATGGCGAGTGCAGAATGCCGACGGCACAGCGAAGACAGTTTAAGGCCAATTAGATATAACAGTTTACCAAGTCTCGACGTTCGTTTTTGGTCAAACTCTTAATAATATTAATTTAAAATATGCATTGCTAAATGAGTGTCGCAGCATGGCAGACCGTATGATACCATGCCATAGCGTGGCATAGTATGCGATGCCATACGCTCCATACCAAGTAGCTGACACCTTAATAAAATCGAAGAGCACTCTTCTTCGACAGAATCGCCAGTTGCCAACTCGCCGAGGCATGCTGCAAAAATGACTATTTTTGGTTGATGTTGCTGCTGCTGCTGCTGCATGTGGAAACGGATGGATGGTTGGATGGATGACAGGCCTGCATGCCAATCACGCGTCAATTGCACTGACCATTGCCAGCTATTTAGGTAGCCAGCCGCAAGTCCCCATTAAGGCCGCTGTCAACGTTGATGAGTTGATTCTGTCGCTGACAGGCGATCCTTATGCAGGAGCCCAAACTGTTACGCTGATCGTTCGCAAATGGCAAGCGTTTCACACAAATTAGAAACCAACTTGCAACTCAGGTCTAGTTTTTCAAATTAATTCAATTGCTGTATATATGCGATATCGTTATTCGTGATTTGTGATATTATAAAGACTAATTTGATATCTACATTCTGCGAAGGCATATATAGCATACTCTTAATGAGTATGGCTATATGAGTAGGAATTCGACTACCGGTATCTTCAAGAAACTTTTTTAAATTGCACAAAATATAAGTGGGAGTGAATGAGGGATCTAAGAATATATAATATATT